ATTTTTGTATTTTCTGTTTTATTTTGTTTTTCTTGTAATTTCATAAATATTAATAAAGATCATGCGAGACTGCCGCATTTAAAAAAAAAAAAAAATTATTTTTGCACATTATTTTTAGGTGTAATACTATTACAACCTCTTACATTGAATTTAAATTTATTAATTACTGTAAACGGGTAAATGTGATGCAGCTTATATAGCATAGAAAATTGACTAATTTGATATAAATAATATATATGATATATCAGACATATATAATATAACTGATATATTAAACATAGTTAACATATTAGATATAGTTGATATAGTAGACATGTTAGTTATATCTTTTTATGTAATTTATTTTATATAAATAGATAGCTTTTTAGTTTATGTAAATGAACAGACAGATAGGAACTTGATGAGTTAGTTTTTAGTAGTTTTAGATAGAGTTTCAGATGAGTCAAGTTAACTTACAAGTCAGATAAGCCGAGTCAAGTTTAAATAAAGTTGAGTTTATGTTTTTTTGACTCGATGATTTGTGAGTCAAACCAAATTCAAGTCGAGTTAAATATTTAACTCAACTTGATTTAAACTTGACTTGATTCGAGTTGACTCAAGTTGACTTGAATGATAAAAAAATCATTCAAGAAGAACGATAAGAAATCATTTGACTTAAACAATTTTTTTTATTGTTCAAGAAGAACAATGACGAATCATTCAACTTGAATGATTTTTTTTATTGTTTAAGAAGAATGATGACAAATCATTTGACTTAAATGATTTTTTTTATCATTCAAAAAGAACAATAACAAATCGTTCAACTTGAACAATTTTTTTTATCATTCAAAAAGAACAATAATGAATTGTTCAACTTGAACAATTTTTTTTATTGTTCAAGAAGAACAATGACAAATCGTTTGACTTGAACAATTTTTTTATTGTTCAAGAAGAACAATGATGAATCGTTTGACTTGAATGATTTTTTTTATTGTTCAAGAAGAACGATAACAAATCATTTACTCTTCCCACCCTCCTCTGATCTTTTCATTTTTTTATTATTTTTTTTCAAAATCAAATTAAGTTAAAATCGAATTGAGTCAAATTGAGTTGAGTTTAAAATTTATATAACTCGAATCAAATCAAATTGAAAGATTTTATAAAATAAATTTGACTCGACTTAACTTGAAAAAAGAAAGTCGAATAGAGTTGATCTTTAAACTCAACTCGACTCAATTCATTCGAAACTCTAATTTTAGAAGCAACTGGCTTATCGCATTACACTCTAATTTTATTATTTCATTTCTTTTCTTATTTTCTTATTTTTCTCTTTCCCTTTTATTTATTATTTTACTCGTGAATAAACATCTTATCTTATAAATATAAATTACTGATAATCTGTTGAATTATTATTTGTCGTAATAGTATAAACACTTTTGATAACCCATCTGGAGTAAAACTTGTAAACCATTGAAAGATTACTGCTCAATTAAAAAGAATAAACTACTTAAATATCCTGTCTAACAGTCGTAATTTGTAAGAATTACATGTTAACATTACTAGTTAATCACTTTTTTATAAGATAAAAACCCTCTATTTGAAAATGTAAAATAATATCTATTATAAATCTATCAGTAAAGTCAAATTTTCATTAATCTCTAACTTTATTTACACTTATTTATTTTTTAAATCTAATATTTAAGTATGAATAACATCAATCAATAGATCAATTAACCAGTTATTAATGCATATTAGTTTATATATTCTTATATTTAGTTATAATGAAAATCTTATAATAATCATATAATTTTATGCTTCAGTTAAGATCTGAATCTAAGACTTTCACAATGTCATCTATAAAAGAAACTTAATTCTTATAATTTGAGTCAAGATTACCAATCTCTTAAAAATATCCTAATAAAATTTAATATTAAGTTAATTCAATTTTATATAATTTAATGATCTATATTAAATTTCTTACATAATAAAATTTGAGTGTAAAAAATTTTTTAGCAAATTAATCACCATAAAACTAATATTGAATTCTAATTCTTCTTAGTGCAGCAATTCTAATAAGTTAAAATTTATTAAAATTAGATCAGCTGATCAGAAATTATCATATAACAAAAATCAATAAAATAATATATAAAATTTTTTTACAATATAAAAATACTAGTAATTTTTTAAATTTATATAAAATATAAATTAAATTTATTTGCTAGGTATATTTATATTTCTCAATTACTAGAAATGTTATTCTTTAGATTATCTAGCAGATAAATTTGCTTGCAAAACTTAAAAAAATGTGTTGTTTTTTTAATAAAATATTAAATATTATTTTATTAATTTTATTAGAAAAAATTTTAAGTTTATAAAATATTTTTTAAATAATTTAATTTTTAAATTTAAGTTTTAAAAAATTTATTATAATAATTTTTTAAAAAATTCTTTAAAATTTATATAGTTGTAAATTAATTGAATTATTTTACTATTAATAAAAGTTATAAATTTCCTTATTAAATTATAAAAAGTATAATAATTAAAGTTATTCTTTATGATAAATTTTATAATATTCTATTATAATTAATATTACTAAAAGTAAAATTAATAAAATTGTCAAAAAAAATTTTTAATTTATAATTTTTTTAAAATTACAGATATTTAATTTATAAGTAATTGTAAATTATTTACTATATTATTAAAAAATAAAAATTACTATAATATAATACATATTTATAAAATTAATTTTTTTAAAAATTTTTTTAAAAATTTTAATTTTTCATAAGTAAATCAGAAAAGAATTTATAGTAAATAAGCAAATAAATTTGTCTACAAACCTCTACAATCTAAGGAATATGATTGATTATAATTCTAAAATTTACAAAAAGATAAATATTAGTTTTTTTTAAAAAAAAAATACCTACTTTCTTTTTTCTATAGAAACTTATCTCTGATTTTAAAGCTTAAAAAAACTCTGGAACTTATAAAAAGATAAGTATGTGTTAGTTTTTTTGTTTTTTTATTTTTTAAAAAATCTTACACCTTCTCTTTTTCTATAGAAACTTATTTCTGATTCTAAAACTTGAAGAAACTTCAAAACCTACAAAAAGTAAGCATATTAAACCTACTTTGTTAAAATATTATTCTAAGTTACAAATTCTTATATAATGTATAAATTTAGCATAATCAAATAATGTCTTTTTTAATATTATAGAGATGCTTATTTTTTTTTTATTAAATAATATTGTAGTAATGATTCAAATAATATAGAAATAATTTGAATTTTCTTATTTCTTGATAATTAAGAATTACAAAGAGTGTAATTGAAAATTTTTTACTAAAAAGATTATTATTAAGAATATATGACATAAAACTATAAATCATAGCTTGACTATTAGTATGTAAATTGATATAAGAAATTGGAAATACAACAAATAAAAGCAGTAAAGAATGTAAAGAACTTTATTTATATTGATAAAAGTCAATTTAAAAGTGAGGTATTAAAGTAATAATATGATAATTTCTCATTAATACAAATCCATTCAAGTTCTTAAACATAATTTCAGATCAAGTATTAATTAAGGAACTATCTATATAGAAGGTTAAAGATTTATCAAAGTATATCTTTCTTCTAATTTCTTTACATTTGTCAAAATGGTCAGAAAGAGTAATAAATTTGTTAATAATTGATATTGATGAACAAAGATTCAAGATTATAATTGATAATTCATTAAAGATGATTGAAATTACTCTTGAAATTTTATTAGAAGAATATTGAAATTGATACTGTATATGTCTGTGTTTGTTATTGTTGATTAGGATCCTCAAATATTGATCAGATTAAACTCTGAAGGTGCATGTAAGATTCAAGAAGACAAAAGAATAATGAGAACAACCAGTGCATTGAATAAGTTGATAAAAGCCTTGACTAGTCATGGAGCTAACAAAGTGCTGACAAACAGTCCAGTCTGCATAAGATTTCATGTTAATAATACTTCCAAAAAATATAGTATCAAATAACGGATCTTTATAGGCAATAAACTTCTTTTATCCCTTAGGAAAAACAATTGGATCATATAAAATGGAAACATGAATTTATAGACCAAGTATTAACCCCAAATTAACTGGTATTTTGATAGATAAGATTCGTTTCAACTTTATAAAAAGTATAAAAAAGAAATTGGACATGAGCATAGGCAATTATCAAAAGCTGTGATAAGTATGTCAGCAAAACCTCAAGACTCTGATGTTATAATTTGCATTTGCTTAGCCGTGGAATATTACAAGCAATAAATTCAAGTTCTCGTTTGTAGTATAGATTTATTTGCAAAGCATTTCATATAGATTTATTTTTTTGTGTATATATTTTTTTTTCGCATTTGCATCAATAACTGTGACGATATCAAAGTTTAGCAATTTTTTTTTTTTTATATAAAGTATTGTAAATCATGATTTGTAGCGATCTGCGACAACTTAACCCGTTTCTGCATTTTCGCATTTTCTTGAGTTGTACAATTTGTATTACTAATTTCCAAAAAACAGAGATGTTCCCTATCTATCAAGAGATAAAACGCCTTACTCGAGAGCTACCTGAAGAGAAATTTACTAAAATAATTACTCACATTAGTTCGAATGTTGATCTAACAAATCAGGTGAATGATGCCCTGGCTCTCTTTGATACGGATGAAAAGAAACGTAATTACTTGGTAACTTTTTCAGAAACACTTGGAGCTGGTATGTATTCACACAAAAGTGTAGACTTAAATTTTCGTCTTTCTCTGTCATATTTATCAAGAATAACGAATAATCACCTAATTTGTGCTTTTTTTCCTGCTTCTTATCGTCAAACCCGCCCAAAAAACACATTCGCTTTATTGTAGAGCAACCTGTTAGAGAGAGAGAGAGAGAGAAATAGAGAGAGAGAGAGAAAGGGAGAGAGAGAGAGAAATAGAGAGAGAGAGAGAGATTGCCACCGGTAAGTGAGTCGTAATAAATTAGTCCCTTTTTTATAGCTGTTATTATAATTTTTTCCATTTTTGGTCAATTAACTCATACCTATATTAAATAACAGACGATTTGAAAAGTTTATTCGAAAATATTGAGGAAAAGTTAGGATATATATATGAATTATCAGCACGCTCCGAAATATCCAAGATACAAGGTTCTCACTATGCTTCAAAATTTCAAGTTTTTGACCTTAACGGATTAGTTAGACTTGCGTTACCACAAAAGCAACTTCCATCTGTAAATGCATATTATAATTCTCAGACATATGTACTATTATTTCGTGTTAATAAACTTGCGAATTATATTTACGTAAGTGGATATAAATATTATGGGTTTTTTACAGTTTCATTTAATGTAAGTTTACACTTCTTAATAGAACAAAGGTATACGAAAAAAGCTTGAAGAATCAATAGAATACATCCGCAAATTATCAACTGACAAGATTTATAACAAAAACTTTCACGAACTTGCAGAAAGTGCAGATTTGGCACTTAAACAATGGACTAAATATGAAGGTAATGGTTAGTGACTATTTTTGAAATATTCAAACGAAACGTAACCTTAGTCTTAATGTATCTTATTAGAAACTGCTAAATCAAACGAAAAACGCCTATATCTGGCAAATACTCCCGAGTTGAGCATTATGCTCATGACGGCATATATTTTAGATGCAAAATTAGCCATTGAAAATAATCAGGCATTTATATATATATTTTTTTTTAAGGATCAATTTGAAATTGGATATAATAAGTACACTGACCCCCTCATCCATTATATTTTTTTAGGCTCCTTTTAATTATCGCCTAGACATTGATTTGCGTGGAAGAACCTCAGGTTCCGATATTGCAAACATAACAGTTGAACTAGGAGAAATTACGTCTTCAAATGTGCCTAAGGCAATAAAAAAAAGCTATCGTCAACTCTTATTAAAGTTGGCTGTGATCAGCTATGTGATTGAAGCATGTTCTGATGAAAAAGAACTACCCAAATTTAATTTGTTCGGAAAGGTATATGTGCCAAAAACAGACCCTAACTTTAAAATCCCATCCGAAAAATGGAATGAGGGTATTAATTTCTCCAGTTCTGCTAATTATCATATAGATGTTATCACTATAGGAGAGAAATAATAGATTTATTTGATACATTGTATTTTCACACTAATCTATGTATGAGGTGACAAAACTCTTGTATAATTCATGATATTGCAAATTGTATCGCTATGAAATAAAATTGTCAAGTTTATAACGTCATGTGATCAATATCGACATTTCAAATTTGGCCGCTTTAAAACATTTTTGGTCGGAGAAAATTCAAGCTATATAAATTAGTATTTACTTATTAATTTTTTTTAAACTATTTTAAATTTTTTCTCAACTCGTCTGTTTCTCTTCGAGTTAATTTTTAAAAAAATTTTTTTCTGCAAAGGAAAGTGATTCGGAACATTTTTTAGTTGATGGCGCAGAAAAGTTAAATAGTTATTCAGACCAGATCCGCAGTTATGAATTTGAATGTCACTAGTCCAACTTCGAGTTCTCTTCTGATTGCCCGATTACGTACAGGATTGATCGTGTTTTAGCCATCGAGAATATTTGGATTGATTGCTATTCTTAATGGCAATGTTTACAGTATCGTTTGTTATCTCTTATAAAAGATCACTCCAGAAAGCCTTTGTCTAAAAACATGGTACAGATTGGGTGTAAGATAGATAAATAAATAAATTATAAATGTAAAACAATCCTCTATTTAATTTGTATTCTACTAACGCTAATAGCAAAGAATCAAAAATCGAGGTTTAAGCAAACAAATTTACTAATACATTCATAAACTAAATTTAAAGCATAATTTAAAACTGGTTTCAAACGGTATTGGACATTTTATTAATATAATTCACGTGATTATTGATGTTCGGTTTGCTTGTTAAAAAGGGGAAAAGATGGTAGATCTTTTTTATTTATCCGAGTTAATTCTTAATTATTGGCAACAAAGTAACAGGACAATGAAAAGACCTTCCAACAAGCGTCATCGACTAAGCGACGATTTAGATTCTCGCTTATTTCCTTATATTCAACAAATACTAGAAAAGAAAGGTGTATCTATTTCTACAAATGCGGTATTTGAATATGTTCAACATGTCGAATGTTTTAAAAGAATTAAAAAAATACATTTAGAGCAAAGCCTTGATAGAGGTTCAAATTCAATATTTGTGTTTGATTAGAAAATACGAAATAAAAATGATCTATTAGGATTAATGTTCTTTTCAACGTTAGTTTTAAAATCGGTAAAGAAACAATACATTAAACAACAAAATGAAGGCTCAACACCACCAAACAAAACTGAAGAAATTAAATTAGAAAGGTTAGAAAATGTTACAGATATGCTTAAATTATATAAAGATAATTAAGGCTTTTAGTATAAATTTAGTGAACCGTCAGAACTTGACGAAATGGAATATGAGAATCTTGAAATTGAAGATGTTCAGATGATGGAAGTTAAGGTTTAGATAATTTTTTCCATTTTAATATCTTATGATCTTTTTATTACGACATAAATTATAAAATATTTATAATTAAAGGACACAAATCTTATGAACCAATCTATTACAAAAGTATGGTCTCAGCATCGTCCTCAGTCAACTGAACAATCACCTATTAAAACTTCATCAACCGAGTCCACTTCAAATGTAATACCACAATCATTTAAAGCTGATAATAAAATTCAGGACAAAAAAGAAAAACAAAGTAAATCAAAAATGAAAGTTTCGAAAATGGATTCCAAGAATTTAAAAAGTAAACATTTAAAAATTTAATATACGTACCAGTTATACCATTTCACATAATTTCATTTTTGATAGATCAAGAAACCAGAGATGTTTTATCGTTACCTTCAGCTAGATTATCAGACTTGGGTGGAGTTGAATCTTGTATTGAAGAAGTCTTGGAATTAGTCGTTATGCCATTGGCTCATCCAGAAATTTATTTACATACTGGAGTAAATCCACCAAGGTGATGAATAATTATTATTGTGTAAATATACAATAATAATAATAATATCATCAATATATTAATTTATAATTCTCCATGCCAACAGAGGAATATTATTACATGGGCCTCCAGGTTGCGGAAAAACGTTACTAGCGAATGCTATAGCTGGAGTAAGAATTTGAAATTGTAAAAAAACTTTGTATTTCATATAAGCAACAACTTATGACAACCTTTACAGGAATCGGGTGTTCCATTTATTAGTATTTCTGCACCATCTGTAGTTTCTGGGATGTCAGGAGAATCAGAAAAAAAGATTCGTGAATTATTTGAAGAAGCTAAAGTTTGTAAAAATTTAATTGAAAAATGTTGTTTGTAACTTGAATCTACTTATCAGTAAATTTGATTTTTTTTTTTTTTTTTTGTAGGAAAAAGCTCCATGTTTATTATTTATTGATGAAATTGACGCGATTACCCCGAAAAGGGAAACGGCTCAACGTGAAATGGAAAGACGTATAGTAGCACAATTGTTAACATGCATGGATGGTACTTTGAAATAAACTTGAAATTTAAAATTATTAAATTTATTTTTTAAATTAAGTATTTTCAAATAATATGTAGATTTGTCATGGGATAAGACAGATAACCGGCCAATTTTGGTTATCGGTGCGACGAATAGACCAGATTCACTTGATCCGGCGTTAAGGCGCGCAGGACGATTTGATAGAGAAATCAGCATGGGTGTTCCAGATGAACAAGCAAGAGAAAAGATTTTAAGAGTAATTTCATCCAAATTAAGACTTTCTGGTGATTTTGATTTCAAGGCTCTTGCCAAATTGACACCTGGGTACGTTGGTGCAGATTTAAATGCGCTGACTGATACAGCTGGAATTATTGCTGTAAAACGGATTTTCACACATTTGAGTGAATCTGATATACTCAATGTTGATATAAATAACGAAATGAGGACTAATAATATTAATTCAAACAGCCCATCAACTTCATTCGAGAACCTAAATCCAATTGATAAATTAAATTCTATATCTGCTTTTCTAAAGAATCATCCTGATCCACTTACTGAGGAAGAACTCGAACCTCTTAGCATAACTAACGATGATTTTATACAAGCTCTTTCTAAAGTTCAACCCTCATCAAAACGTGAAGGATTTGCAACGGTTCCTGACGTTACTTGGTCTGATATTGGCGCGTTAAGCTTTATCAGGGATGAATTAAGAATGACCATTGTTGAGCCCATAAAGCATCCTGAATTGTTCAATAGAGTAGGAATAACGGCTCCTGCTGGTGTATTACTGTGGGGACCACCAGGATGTGGAAAGACCCTCTTAGCCAAAGCGGTTGCTAATGAAAGTCACATTAATTTTATATCAGTCAAAGGGCCTGAGTTATTGAACAAGGTTTGAAATTAAATGTAGAATTAATTTAATGATACGCCAATCTACCTATTAATGTGTTGATTTTAATATTTGATAGTATGTTGGTGAGAGTGAGCGCGCCGTACGTCAAGTTTTTGCACGAGCAAGAGCCTCATCGCCATGTGTTATATTTTTTGATGAATTAGATGCCCTTTGTGCTCGACGCGATAATTCTCAGGTTATATTTTGCCTCCATTTATATACATTTAATTTTTCAACAAGTAGATATATTTAATTCTTTGGTTTCTTATAGTCCGAAGCTTCAGCTCGTGTTGTCAATACTTTACTTACTGAACTAGATGGGTTAGAAAATCGAAAACAGGTGTATGTTATAGCTGCTACAAATAGGCCTGGTAATTTCCATCATGCAATCTTACAATATTTTCATAACTCTAATTATTCAAATTTTTCACTAAAATAAATTTTAATTTATTTAAGATATCATTGATCCGGCTATTATGAGACCTGGTCGCTTAGATAAACTTTTATATGTAGAATTACCCACAGCATCTGAGAGATATGAAATTTTAAAGACAATAACAAAGCGGACTCCTTTAGGAAATGATGTTTCTTTAATTAAGATTGCTGAAGATCAAAGATGTACTAATTTTAGGTAAGTTTGGATAAGTTATAAAGAAAGATATTGGAAATTGATGTTAAATTAATTATGTTATTCTCGATAAAGTGGTGCAGATCTAGCATCTCTTATTCGTGAAGCGGCCGTATCTGCATTAAGATCTACATTACATTCAAAAGATGATAAATTGCCAGAAAATGAAATATTTGTTAATACTAGTCATTTTGAAACGGCTTTCAGCAAGGTAGCTCCTAGCGTTTCAACATCAGATAAAGACAGATACAATTCTTTGAGAGTTAAGTTTGGTTGTGCTGCAGATGATAGAGTTACGAAACATGCTAACGAATAGTGCTCGAACCCGTCAATATTTACAGAACTCAAAATTTTTTTAATAATATTAATTTTTATTTCGCAAATAGATTTGACTTAACTGATCGTTTTTTATTTATGCAATTTGATGAAATTAAGTTTAATACTAATTTAGAATATCTTTATTTGTGAATAAACAATATCTGCGATTACGCGCGTTACACAATGGTTGCCAATTTCTATAATTTTTTTTCAAAATTAAATTTTAATAACAAAAAATGTTCAATAATATTTAAAAAGGCAATTTTTTTTTTTAAAATAAAAAGTTTTTAAATATTAAATAGCATCTATATATTAAGTAAAATTCGGTTTAGAGAAAATCGTCCATAAAATATATATATAATAATAAAAAAATTAGAATAATGTTTAAAAAAAATGTTACCTGTCAATAATTTATTAAGTTTAGCAATCTTAGAAGAAACAGACAAATCAAGAGTCTTATCATTTCCGAATTCAATCACCAACCCGCCAAGGATTGATGGGTTAACCTTAATTTGTGTTCAAAAATTCAAAATGCGTAATATTTTTTTTATATTGTTAGCATAATTTAAAGTAATTTTTAAAATTATTAAATATGAATCACAACATACTTTATTCGAAATAATGAGCTTTTGGTTTGAATCAACGAATTTGCTCTTACTCAAGGAAGTTTTAAGTTGATTCAAAATTTTAGAATCAAGTACCTATAAAGTATATATATATATAATATATTAATAAATTTTAAAATCAAGTAAAGCTTTTTAAAAACCAACCTTAGCAGAGATGATTGTAACAGGAATTTCGTTGCGATTAGCTGTCATTAATGATTGATACGCATTAATAATTTTTATGGTTTCGGTGAGTCGACCATTTTCAGCTAAAACTGTGAAAAAGTTCTTGGTAGTGTCGCAATAATTTCCATCTTTTAATAATTGGTGTACACCATCTTTCTTTTTTTGACGACTTAAGGAAGGATCCTCAAGAAAACTACGAATTTTAGGATCTTTTTCAATTACAGATTTAACTTTCATAAGTTCTGTTTCAACATGTTCAAGATTATTTTTCTTAGAGGCAGCAGTAAATAATGCTGTAGAATAACGACCTTCAATGCCATAAAGAGTCAAAGGAATCTATAAAATAAAAACGTCATTAACATTAAATTATTAGAGCGAATGACTTGATTAAATTCATTACCTTGACAATTTTGGAAGTCGGGGTGGCATAGCCTCGAACAAACTATTATATATATCAAAAAGGTGAGACTAAAATATAAACTTACGAGTTAAATAACTAACTGTACCTTTGGAACAGAAATCAAGGCTCGTTTAGCCAAGCTGAAAGAGGTGAATGAGGTCATTCCAAACAAAAATTTAAATTATAATATTCAATAAAATCTTTTAATTAATTATTCACAATATACATGGAACTCGTCAACAAATTCTATTCCACAAATAACAACATATAAAGAAAAGTCGAGAGAATTTTTCATCACTTTATTAAAATTAGATTATCGTAATTGGATAATGAATAGTTTTACTAAATTAGATAGGATCTACAAATAAAAATAAATATAAATTTGGAACCTTATTTAATCGAACGTGTTTTTTAATAATCAACTTTTCATTTAATAAAAATCATTAGCCCACGTACTTATTAATAATGTTCCGTTCAAATAAATCAAAATTAGCAAAATCCATATTACAACAAGGCGTAAATAATGCCCAACGTTATTATGCTTCAACAATTCAACTTCCTTTTCACCCTCATTACGTTCCGCCAGGTCAACCTACAACTACTTCTATCATACGAAAACAAAATAATTTAAAAGGCAAAAATTTTTCGAAAACTTCAAGCAATCCATCTACTACCTTTGGAATTTATTCCTTCAATCATGCACAACATTCACAACCTTTTCCAATTAGTGTATTAAATAATACTACCAATTCAATGATTTTAGGACTTGTACCAACAATTAATAGGTTACAAAAAATTTCTTTTTCAAAAAAAGATGATGTTTTATTATCGACAAACTTTTTCGGTGATACTAGTAATGAAGCTACAAAAAGAAAGATTCCTTTTTTATTTAGAATTTCTACGATATGTTTTGTGGTAGCTGGTTTTATTAGGAGTTATCATCGAAGGAAGAGTAATAGCAACTTGCATAATGGAAACGATGATTATCGAATTGAGAATTCTTCCAACTCGGAACCTTCATAATATAGATAATTTTAGGAAAAAATAAGCATAATCTTTATTTTAGGTAAAAGTTAAATTTTTTTATTTATTGTGATTTTAGCGAATTATAATTTCAATAACTATGTATAGTTTCAAATCAATGTACATATTATGCAATAACATTTTGAAATATAACGAGTAGATAATGGATTTTTCTTAAACAAGTATTTTTTTTTTTTTTTTGTAATTTTCAAGTAAATTCATACCAAATCATATATTCAATGATGAAAATTAAAAAGTTGATAATAATTAATTTATTTTAACTTTTAGCAAAAATAGTAATTTATAATGTATATTTAAACATATTTAGAATTTTGTAATCTAAATTATAATTTACAGATTTATTAAAATTTAATTAATTTCAAGTATAATTTTATATTTATATCAAATATTTCTTTAATATAAAAATAATATAAAAATAAAAATAATTTGGTTTACCTGCTTATCTTTTACTTGTTTATTTTTATAATTTTCTTTGAAATGAAGAAAGTTTTAAAAATTTTAAAGATAATCAAATGATAATGCAATCTTTTTAATAAGATCAAATAATTAACAAATGTAACCAAATAATGCAAGTCATTAAATATAGGTAACCAAATAATATAATATTTTAAGTAAAATAACAAATGATATATAACAGTTTATATATTTTATAATAATTATTTAAATTATATATACTTATATTTTTTTTTAATTTTTTAACTATAAATAAGATTATTTATTAATAATTAAAAATTCAGATGTTAATTTGTATTAAAAATTTAAAAAATTTCTATTTATGTATAAAATATATAAATATTATATATTGTAATATAAATAATATATTTTAATAAAATAAAATATATTAAAATATAATATAAAATAGTGTCAGGCAATTGGACAATTTTAGACAATTTTGAATATATTTTAAACAGGTTTTTAGATACTTTTTTCTATATCCAAAACTTTGTCCAAAACTTTTAAAATCTAAAACTGTGTCCAAAACTTATCACTGATATAAAATAATAAATAATTACTTATTATTATTATATAAATAAATTTATAAACAAATTTATCTGTAATTATAAAAAAATAAAAAATTGATTAGCATTTAAATTAGCTAATTATCATTATAAGTTTATTACAGTTATATAATTATGCTACATTAGCGAATCAGCTTAGATTAAATTATGTAATAACTTTATAATTTAATGATGACTTAATAATTTCATAATCTAATCTTTATAATCTAATTATTACTTTATAAATTTAATTATAATTTAATTTGCATATTATGATCTAGTTATTTTAATTTAACTTAATTTATTAATTATTTTTTTACTATTCTAAATATTATTTTAATTATTTTTTTTTATCAATTTATTATAATATAATTTAATAATTTAATTATATTATTTTAATATAATTTAAATATATCAATTTCTTACCTTTTTAAATATTTTTAATTATTTTCTTGTTATTCTTATATTATTAACTAATTAGTTTAATTTGAATTTATTTTTATAATACTTAACTAACATTATTTTATGATCTTTTAAACATTATATTAAATATTAAGAAGATATAATAATATATTTAAAAAAAATAAATTATCTTTTTTATTTTAAAAAGTTTGTTATTTTAGATATTATATTAAATATTAAAATAATATAATTTATTTAAAAAAAAAAATAAATTATTTTGTAAATTTTTGATTAAAAAATATTTAATTAATTTTCATTTTTTAAGAAAATTTTTTTAGATTATTTTAAAATAAAATTTATTATAAAAAAATTTTTTTTTAAATTAACTTATTTTTTATTATTATTTTTTAGAATTCTTAAATATTTTAATAAAAATAATTCTAAGAAAAAATTGTAAGTTTAAATTCATTTTGGATTTAAAAAAAAATCTAAATTTTAATTTTACTAAAATTTTAATATAGTATCACATTTTTATAAGCTTTGATATATATTACCCTATTAGATTTTTACTATATATATAAAAATTATATATAAAATTCAGTTTTTTTTACAATTATACAAAAAAAATTTTTTATTAATAAATTGATAAATTTTTATTAAAAAAATTGTATTACATTTATTTCTATTATTTAAAATTTTTAAATTTTTAAATTAGTATTTAATATACTTACCTTTATATTCTTAGTTTTAATCATCACATTGATAAATTAAGTAAGCTTAAAATTAAATGATATAATATTTCTAAACTAATTTTTTCACTCTTTTTTTATAGTATTAATTAACTCTTATATTATTTTAGGTAAAAGCTTTTTTTTTAGACTTAATAGTTTAAATAGTTTAATAAATTTCAATCAGATTAAAATTTAGAATTTATATTACTCAATCTAAAATTAGAATATTATATGTTGACATTTACTAAATATTATATAAAAATATATGATAGGATGTTCTATTTTGCTGAAATATAGAATTAGGATAATTATTAACTTAAGGTATAAAAGAATTATCAAGAATATTGATATAATTATTAAAATTTATATTTTCTTTTATTACAATCAGAAGTCTAACTTTATGCCAACCAAATGACCCCAAATCATCTTTGATTCTCTATTAAATTTAAATATAGATTAAATATAATCTTGATTATAAGTTTTTCTAGAATACTATTAAACTCTTATATGCCATTTAACTTAAAAAGCAAATCTGATTTTATTTAACCAAACCATTTGTTTTTATTCTTCTTTCTAGTTATGTCTTTTCTAATACTATTTAAATCTATTTTTTTATTATTCTGCAATTAATCAAAATTTTTTACAAGTAGTATAAGTATTCAAACCTTTATTATAAATATATTTTTTAATGATATTATAGTAAAGTGTAATATTAAGTTTAAAATTTAAACTATCTATTATATTATTAAAGGAGTAAACTGATTATTATAGATAATATATTGTAAAATCTGATTATCCTATTTTTGAATACCAAAATATTTCATAGAATTTGTAGAATCAGTTTTATTATATCTTTTAATTATATTATTTATTGTATTAAAAGAAATATTTAATTAAGCTAAAATAATCATTTGTCTAATACCATTAAAATATGCACACTAATAATATTTTTATTTTATATATTTAACAACTTATTTTCTCATATTTTAACATCAGAAAAAAGAGACAAAAATGCTAATTATAAAGCTAATTTATTAAATTACATGACTAAATTCTAATAATTTAGTGTAAAATAGTATAGTTTTACCATTTTTTGAATTTTATAGATATTTTAATAAGGATTTATATAATTTTATTAAATTTTATCTTTATTATCATTAACTTTATATTTAATCCTTTAAACTTAAAGTAATAATAACTTAATAACAAAAATAATATGTAAAATTATTAAGTTATTATAAAATAAGTCTTATTACAATCAATCTTAAATTTATAATAATTTAGATGAGTAAAACAATTTTAATAAAAATAGCAAACAATAAATATGATAGTATATTGAAAAAATAATATATTTGTAATTTAGAAAGATATATTTTTATTGTAAAATTTATATTCTTAATAATCTGTAACTTTAGATTTTAAGTTTTTAACTTTATTTTTAAGTTATTACTAAACATATTATGGTAATTATATATAATTATGTAAAAATATAATTCATAATTATATTATTTAATTACATATTTAATTAATTACAGAATGTTAATTAATTATATAAGATAATTAATTAGCAAATTTTATTTCAAAAAATATAAAAAGTATGTTTAAAAAATATTTATAATCATTTAAATAGAATACCTACTAATATTAAAAAACTTTTATAACAAAGTAAGATATCTGATTTTACTTTTAATTCAAATATATTATTAATATTTTATTAATTTTTATTTTGTATAATAATGACTAAGGTTGCTAGACAAAACCTAAAGATTTTGCAAGTCATCTAAATAAAAAAAGGTAAAATTTAGTGAAATTATATTAAAAAATCTGTAAAATTCTAAAAAGGTAAAACTATATTAAAGCTTATAAAAATGTGAAAACTATATCAAAATCTTAGTAAAAAATTAGATATAGTCAGTTTTGGGAGTTCTGGGACAGATTTTCCAAATAGGTATACATTGATGTGTAGCCTCCCAGCTACTTTTCCAATATACATATTTCTGTAATCTTTATTGAACCCTAAATTAGACTACAAGACCAGGAATCATATTGAAATCTAATATTGAATTCAAGCTTAAAATCGCGCAGAGCTCAAATCTTGTTAACATATCTCCCTTACCCATATTTTTAGTTTTCAAGTTAAAGGAGATTACCATCTTTGTTTACGC